GGGGGGGGCGAGTCCAACGCCACCAGTCATCACTAAGGTTGTTAACCAGTTCCTTGGTGGTGACATCCATGTAGCTAACCACATGGGCATGGACAGCACTGGAGATCAAGTCACCAGCTGGATGCAGTGAAGAGTGCAAAGGATGGTGACAGCAGCAGAAACATTCTCGGTGGAGGCATCGCTAGCAAGCTGCTGTGAGGTGCCCAGCTGGCTCCCAGACCTGCTTGAGAGCTGATCCACGGGAGGAAGGCCAAGGCAGCCTTCTCCTCTTCCTCAGGGTGGAAGAAGGCAGTGACCTAACCTCCAGGCCTCCAAGAGTCTGCAAGGAGGGACATGCTGCACAAGGGGATAGTGGTGTTTTGTTGTGGCAGAAAAGAGGAGGCTTCTCAAGACCAACTGTACCTGTGTATATTGGAAGCAAGATCTGAGGTTCAGCCAGCAAACATCAATGCATTTCCTAACCACAAGTGCAATCAGCTCTCAGGGTGTCTGATTCCAGTAAAGCGTGGGGTGGGAGAGGGCAAGGGGAGGGCGGAAGGTGTGCTGACAGCTGGAGGAAGCTTGGATCCATCAAAAGCTCCTCAGGCCCTTCCTGCCAGGAGCACCGGAGGAAGGTGGAGGCTTCACCAGGACACAGGCGCTTCACGAGGAATGGAAAAGATCTGTCGCGCTTCCTGTTGCCAGAGCACACTCCTGCAATCCAGCACCGGGAAAAGGGCGATCCACAGGAGCAACGGGTCACCACCACTCTCTCTGCAACGAGCAATTCCCAGCTCATACCAACGCAGCACTGTGCAAGTCTGTGTTCCCATGGATGGAAACCTCCAAATGATCCTGAGAAACAAGCTGCCCTCAGGCACTGCTGCTCTCAAACAACTGTCCCTGTGTCTTGGCATGGGGAAGGAGCTGAGCCAACCCATGGAGGGGAGGATGGGACAGAGGGCTTGTTGGGGCGCAGGTGCTGTGTGGGGCAGCTGTCCAGTCCCTCCCAGGATGGACCTCGTCTCCCCGTAACAGCAATCGCAGTTACGCTGTCTCCCATTAAACAGCCAACGAAAGGTGTGAATTCTAGCGCTTTTCACTTGCGCATATTTTTTGTTTCAAAGAAACCAAGCAGACTGTGTATAAGCAGGGAAATCACACAATTCTCTTTGGGGAAATTTCGTATAACTGCCCCCACTGTTCTCCCTGGCCCCAGCTGCGCCCCACAGCATCGGGGCGAAACCCTACAGATGCATCCAAACTGCTGGCCAAAACCAGGAGAGCGGGGAGGAAAGCAGCCCCCTTAGCTCACTGCTTGGCTGGCGCAGATAAAGGAAACGGACTCAGCGTGTCTCCCCTCCCCGGGACTTACCCAGAGGGAACACAGCCCAGGGCAGGAAAAAAGCCCCAGCCCCTATTGTTTCCCGGAGAACAATGCGGCAGCCCCAGGCGCCTTCCACGGACTAATCAGGGAGACCAAATATAAACAGTTACCCTGATACAGGGACAGGATGAGGAAGCGGCGCGCGGGGCTTGGCAATCCCGATAACCGGGCTGAGCAGAGCGCAGGCCCCGCAGCACCCTCCGGGCTGGCTGCAGGGGGACAGGCACCACTCCAGGACGTTGCAAAAGGTGCTTTCCCCCTCTCGAGCACTGCTGCAGCGAGAGGAGCGCAAGGGGCATGAGGCCAGGCAGCCTCCCCTCCCCGCCAAGGCAGGACTGCTCCCCACAACATGCTTTCCAGAACTTCATCCAGAATTTTCTTTCCTGAACTTCAGCCCGTAAGGCCACGGCAACACCACACCTTTCAGCGCCGTCACACGGTGCCACCGCCTGTGGGGTAGCGCAGCAGAAGGCACAAAAGGACGTATGCTGGCGTAGGTGCTTCCTCTTCATCACTCTTGACGGGCTTCTGTGCCTCTTTCAGGATGCAATTTAATATTATAACTAAGGTAATTTACTGGCTGGGGGCTCTCCAGAAAGGTGGCCCGGCTGCCCCCCCGCACATACTCACCTTTTTGCTTAGGCACTCATCCGATCGCGGTGAGCCAGTTCAGGGAACTGAACCAGCAGAAAGCTTTTCCCGTAACAGTTGTTTTGTGCTGGCTCAGCTGCCTGGAGCGGGTCACCGTAGCATCACACCAGCGTGGTACTGGCACAGGCAACAGCCCGGTCCAGCTGGAGCATCGCCGGCAGCGCCCGGGCCTCGCCTGCCTACCCACAACATCCCCATCACAAGGACGGGATCGCGAGGGGAGCAGCATGGAGCTGCTTCCCGTTCAGAGGAACGGTCATGTTTCAGCATTTCAATGTTTTTCTTAAGTTTCGTCTTTGTTTAGCATCACGCAGAGCAAGCTCACACAGGCATGGCACGATCGCTTCCACAGCCGTATCTGCCCTTCTCCCGCAGACAGGTAACAAATCAGCTCCCACGTCAGGAGAACACGTCCTCTGAGCAACGCTGCTGGTAAAACCCTGCTTGGGAAGCACCTTCTGCTCCCAGGCCCCAGGGCGTTGCGCAACCATTGCCCCATGCACCTCCCCGCACGCACGGCACGGTGCCGGCACCGCGGCGGCCGAGCCATCTTCTCAGGGGCAAACGGAGACAGCGAGGCCTTCGCAGCCCGCCTCTCGGAGCAGTCGTAAAGCAGGTCGGTGGGAGCAGTGTCGTGGTGCTGAGCTCCTTGCAGCGTGAGGCCCACCGAGTCCTCCCAGGCCCCCCTCCCCGGTGCTATAACACGAGGACGTGACAAGGAGCAGGTTTCCCTGCCCGGGGGCGGTGCAGCACCCGTCACCCTTACCTTCTTTGCTGTCCAGCGCGGGTTCCTTCAGGGAGCTAGCAGCCGCTGCCTGGCTCTGCACCGGGCTCTGAGCGGGGCTCAGGCCACCGCCCCCGTCTGCTTGGTCCTTGCCCCTCATTTCTTCCTGCCAAAGCGTGGACTTGGTGGCAGGGACCTTCTCTGCGCTGGGGATGTTGCTGCTGGTCACAGCCATCTTAGCGGGACCAGGCTCCTAAAGAGAACGGGGGGGGACAGCAGGGTTAGAGGGGGCGGCGCAGCAGGGACGGGCCCTCGCCG